GTGCGGATCTGGCGGCTCCTTCCCTTCCCTCCTTTTCCCTCTCCCAGATCTAGCTAGAGGGGACGACCGCGGCGACGGCAGGTGGGCGGCGGCCGATCTGACGACGGCGGCGACGACGACGGCCACGACCGTGGCGACGGCAGGTGGGCGGCGGCGGCGGATCTGACCGCAGTGGCGACAACGACGACCCTAACCATGGCAGCGACGACGACGACGCTGCCGCTACCGGCGGCTCGATGCGTGGCCGGTGGTTGTGATATTGATTTTTGCATGTTGAATGCTTGTTGAAAATGTGGTGAAAATTGATGTATTGTTCTCTGTATGTGGATTTGAGTATGGATCTGATATCGATTTGATTTGATTTTGATTTTGGATTGAAAAAATGCAGCTGCTCAGGATGTCGATTGCTTTTTTTTATTGGGAAAAAATCTTTTCGCTGGCGGTTCTCTTAAGGGTCCGCCTGCGAAAAGCGAAAATAGATTTTCACAAGCGGTTCTCTTAAGGGTCCGCTTGCAAAAATAGATTTTCGCAAGCGGTTATATTAAGGGTCCGCTTGTGAAAATATATTTTCGCCGGTCCTCTTAAGCGTCCGCCTGCGAAAATCGATTATCGCAAGCGGATTGCAACCGCCAGCGAAAATATTAGATCTTCACTAGCCTTTACTTTGTGGCGGCTCGGAATACCGCCAGCGAAAACCCAAAATGACTGCCACGAAAAATGGTTTTCCTAGTAGTGTGTTCAGATTCATATATCACATCATGCATTATATTGGTTTGTTTTGGGACGGAGGGAGTAGATCACTCATGAACCAAAATAGGCATGCATGATGTTTAAAGCATTTTTTTATTAAGCGGTTTAGAATAGGTTAAAATTTATAAGTTGTTAAAATTTTCTATTTGAAAGTTATTTTTGGATTATTTTTTTAAAAATAATAGTTTTAAGTCATTTTTAATACTTATTAATTCAAGTAAGAATTTTGCAATAAACCTTTTCAACTGAAATTTTTATTTTAGATCTGGAATTCTTACAATCAAATTTAGGATACTATGTATAATATTGACACTAAGTATGAGTTATGACTCAGATATATAAGGCCTCAAAAGTACCAATTAACCTAGACGATCGAAGTTAAATGAAGGCGCAAACGGGACTTGTAATATTGTCAAACAACTCAAGCGATGAACATGCACATGTGTCAAAAGGGTCGAAATGTCGATATTAAGGTTTGTTCGTATCGACGACTTAAACTTCCGTACGACGTCGAAAGATTAATTTGAAGATTCAAATAAGCAGAAACTAAGCATTTTTCTAGATGGATCAAGGAGGATAGGGACAAATAAAATAAATACTATCAACTTTATAGTATACACAGAGTACTCGAATTAATAATTAATCTATGAAATGTATAGTCATGCGATCGATAGACAATATATTCAACGTTGTACTCGAATGCGTTAATGGTGGTTGTGCCAAACCAGATTAACGTAAAACAGCCCGGATCAAAAGAGTTGAAAAGCTAAAATTTCTTAAAAACGCAATCAATTGTGCTCAAGGACAATTAATTTAAATCGGCGGGCAAAAAGGTCCAGATTAATGCATTGCAGAGTGCTTCTTGTAGTACTTTGTTGCATCGCGAATATTAATTAACTTAGGAAACTAAATCGATCGTATTCACAGTTTGAAATTAATTTGTATACGCAAAGCATCTCATTCATTCGCCAAACTGTTTTTATCTTCTCCGTTTTGGATAGACGATGAGGACTTATAGCACGTACGAACATATTCTCTGATCTTGGCATGCATGCGCCTACGTACAACCTTGGTTTTTTTACTGCACATATCATCGAGAATTTTTTACTGCACGTACTGCACATTTTTTACTGCTCCGTTCTTAAATATAAATATTTTTAAATTATTTAACAAAGATTAATAAACAAAAAAAATATTTTTCAGTCGTCTTATTAGTTAATTTTTAAATTGCTTATATTCCCTTCTTAAATACTAACTAGTCTGAAAATGTTTGAATTCCCCTTATTAAAAGTCGGTGTTCCAAAAATGGTTATATCATGTCAAATTTTTTGAAGGATATGAAATAAATCCGACCTTTATATCTAACTTGATGTGCATGGTCAATATTATGTTTATGTACAACTTTTTTTTTGCTAAAAGCTTAAAAGTATTTGTATTCGGTGGAGTAGCAAAGATGGATTCATATCCTACACATGTTATACCAGTACGTGACAACAATATTGTCATCACGTCATATAGTATAGTATATGGCCGAGTTTCTCACGCTAAATCATGCAAATATACATACACACATATAGTCAGTGGTGGCCACAAGCTGTAGTGTGACGTGCACGTTGGTCCAATAATAGTTATAACCTGGAACGGATGGAGCATTAAAATCGGTGCTCCAGAAATACTTATGTACAAATTCTTTTTAAGGATATAAAATGAAATAAACCCGACCTCTATATCTAACCGATATACACGGTCAATATTATGTACAACCTTTTTTAAAAACTTTAAAAGTATTTGTATTCGGTGGAGTAGGAAAGATGGATTCATATACTACATGTTATACCAGTGACAACAATATTGTCACGTCATATACATACATAGAGCCGAGTTGCTGACGCTTAAAACATGCAAATATATTGTATATACACATAATATGTAGTCAGTGGTGGCCACAAGCTGTACTGCGACGTGCACGTTGGTCCAGTAATGGTTTATGCTTGTTGCATATGCATATGTGCCAAATTGTTGCCGGCCGTTGTACGCACGTGACTGACTTTTGTAGTCTGAACGTACACGAACCGGCCGGATCCTATATTGCTCAAGCCTTTTCTTTTCTACCATGCATAGCTGGCTTGGAAATTAACTGACCGGCCGGTCTCCCATTAACCAATCAACGACTTGTGCAGTTGATTTGGTCCAAAACAGAGTAAATTTTTTAAGTTATAATTTATCTATTTTTACTATATGTGCACCTCCTCAGTGTAAACTTAAGCACCCACGTCAGCTTAAATTTGGTCCAAAACAGAGTAAAGCAAAGCATGTGGCACCCTCTCTATTTCACTCTAGCTTCACCCCTAGCAGTTGTTCTCTGGAGTAGCTGGTCATATAATTCGCTTATAAAAGATGGATGAGATAGTGTGCTACTGTTAACTTCTTCTTCTTCTTCTTCTTTTTTTGGGAGAAAGGGAGAGCACCTCCCCCGTTTTCATTAACGAAAACGCAACGATTACAGAAGTTCCAGAGTAATTCACCGCAAAAGCAAAGGAAAATAGAAAACGATTATAGTGTGCAATTGTTTTATAACTTCTTGATGTAGTAATATTGTTTTCGTTTCATTGTTTTTCTTTGAGCAAGTCGAATTAGAGTCGTATGGTAGTTTGGAGTCTAAGTACTCGTTTATGTCAAACATTGGTTTTGTCTCTCTATGTGTAAGGAGATGAATGTTGAGTCTAGAAACTCTTGTATGTTTGGTTGGTTGTGTACATCCGTTTGGATGTAGGCTGGTTTAATCCATTATCTAAAAAAAATAGGGACCGCACAAATATATAACTTTGTAAGGTTTTTCTTTCTTTTGCCATGTACATCCTGGTTGAATGTAAAAGTCACGTTTTAATTAATCCATTATAACAAAAAAAATACTAACCTTGTAATCTGAAAGTACGATCATAACTATGTATAAGTAAGTACTCTAAGAGTGGATCCTGAAAAGAAATTACGGTTTACTAGTGTTTCGGTATCAAGATACATTAGTTTCACTCGGTAAATAGTATCACTTTCATTCAGTTAGTTATGGATTTTACTAGAGATCGTCGTACTGTCGAGGCTTGTTGACCCCGCTGAATGTACCGTAGCTCCACCGATGTGTAACACATAGCGCAAAGTGTTCTACTAGTCGATTTGATCATCTCCATCGACATTACTTGAGAAACGCCCAGGGGTCTTCTGGCTAGCTCCATAAGTTGATGGGCTAGACAACCTAGGTTCAAAGCCTCACCCTTCTAATTATTTGATATTAGGTTATTCCCTGATATTCGCTTCCATCGACATTACTTGTCTTGGTATAAGTACACGCTAGGTAAAGTCTCTATATGGCCTATGCGTACATATGCAGAGATGCACGTCATGATCTCGATCGTACTGATGATTCAGTGAGACACTCTAGAAACTAGATATATTTGCATTAAAGATTTAGATATATTTCAGATATGATCAATATCAAGTCATAAATACAGCAGGATTTTACTCTTGCCTTGACCAACATCCAATGAGATCATCACGAAACAAACACGCCCACAACAAAGGGTGGCTTTAAATCACAAATAGAAATAAACCACAAACGACACGATCTGTAGAAGTACATCAAACATAGCCTATTACGCATACCTAATAAGTATTTATATCTATCAACACGTGCGTAAAATCATACCTTAGATAGATCACATCTTTCTATAATTTGTTGTCACGTCGCATCCTCTTTGGGGGCACCGCTTTGGAGAAACCTCTTCGTGCAAGGATATTGTCATTGGTCTATGCATTGGCTTCGAACTTTAGTCCTAGGCCTGGACGAGGCCTTCTAGCTCCACATTTTGTTTTGCTTTTCTCAGTTTGGGTCATCTCTTCTCTTGTTTGATGTGTTCAACTTGTCTTCGAACTACACTCTCTTCTGGAGTGGATCTTTGTAATAATTGGCTATAGTTCTTTTTGAGCAAAGGCCGGGATATTATATTCCATTATCTAAAAAAATATTTTGTAGTCACTAAAAAGGAACACAATTGATTTTTCCTCCCACTCTAAAAACCTCAAAAAATAACACCCGCGTTGTCTCTCGCTGGCAGCAGTGCCTATGAGACTATCTCAGAAGGTAACGGGCAGCCACCGACAAAGCGGGCCCACACCACCCTCACGTTGGGCCCACGTGTAGGTAGCCCCCATACACGTGGCGCGTCGTGGACCGTACGCGTGGCACATTTCCCCCCGCGTGGACCGCGCAGATGATTCCGATCGCTCGCGTCAGAGGAGTCAACAGCGCCGTTTCGTCGTCGTCGGCTTTAAATACCCCCGCGCCACCACCACCGCTTCCTCCTCCACGCCATTACTGCTCCTCAAACGAGACCAAGAAATCAATCGTTCCAGCGAAGAAGAAGAAGAAGAAGGAGGAATCCATGGCGGCGAGGACGGTGGCGGTGGCGGCGGCGCTCGCCGTGCTGCTGATTTTCGCCGCCTCGTCGGCGACCGTGGCCATGGCCGGCCGGCCAACGCCTACGACGTCTCTCGACGAGGTACGTATATATACGCGATCTCCTCGACCTCATCTCGTCCTTCTCGTTCATCATGGATGGATGCATGTTCGATCTGATCGATGATTGAGAATGAATGAATGAATCTGCAGGAAGCGGCTCAGGCGGCGGCGCAGTCGGAGATCGGCGGCGGGTGCAAGGAAGGGGAAGGGGAGGAGGAGTGCCTCGCGAGGAGGACGCTGACGGCGCACACCGATTACATCTACACCCAGCAGCATCACAACTAATTAATCTTATCGATCAATCAATAATCAATCAATCAATCAGTCGCTTCCTCTTCGATCTACCAATACTAGTATTGGTATATAATTAAAACTGCAAATCCGTCATGCATGCATGGTATGCCCATCGATCCATCCATGATTATCTCTAGTTAGATGTAGTAACAAACTGCATGCGCGTGTTGTGCTCATCAGTGTTAATTTTGGCCGCCCCCCTGTTGATAAACAGTTCTTGATCGATGAGAGCTAGCTTTCGTTTTGTTTTGATTTGTTGGTTGGTTGGTTGATTTGAGAGTTGAGACAGATCGATCTCTGCTTGAATGGTACCTGTCCCAATTTCAGACTTTCAGATTCTAATTACAACGCTTCTGATTGATGAGATGCTTTGAAACGTAAATTACGTACAGTGGCATGCTTGGATAGATCGACGAGGAAAATCCAACTGTGTACTGCATGGTTGAACATGTCAAATTTGGACCATCGGTTTCGAGGAATCATGACAGAGCAGTACTACTACAGTAGTACCAGGAATTTCGCAGCATCTTTTGCAATTGATTCTTTACCATGATTGGACTAATTTCGATTCGCACTAGGCTTTACTCCATTCCATTCCAATTTGGTTCTTGGCCAATTGCTATGTAATTTTATTTTTTTTAAGATAATGAGTTGCTATGGCCGAGTTTATTTCTAAACTTTTTCTTCAAACTTTCAATTTTTCTATCACATTATTCTAATTTTAGCGTGAACTAAACACACCTTATATAATTTCTACCCCTATGTAGATCGCACACTTACTTTCCACCCCTATGTAGATCACAGACTTACTGCCTTATGACTTCGAGAGATTAGCGTATGTGGACCCCATGATTAGCGGACTCATCTTAGAGGATCGTATGTCTGGGAGTCCATTCGCAATGATTTGGCTATTCTAGCCCATTTCCACTCTCAAGTACAGGTGCAACTAGTGGGTCGACTCACGATTCACAATCCCAATTATATGCCAATAAATACCCAAAAGTATATTTCTAAAATTTTGTTTTTGAAATTCCTAATTTGATTCTAATATGTAGATAGATTTTTATCACCAAGAGATGTCTTAAATTAAGTCCCAACAATAAAAAGTGTACCTACCCTAACTAACAGAAAAAACAAATCGCTCTGCCCATCCCCTCGTCACGTGCCCACGTCCAATCCTCTTGTCACGTGTTGCCCTCTCCTTTTATATATGGAAATTGGGAGCGAGAGTATCTCCTGACATGTGGAGAGGACAGAGAAGGAAAAATAGATTCCAATTTTTGAATACATACCAAGAGAACTGTAGGAGTAAGTTTTCACAAAAGAAAACCCAACTCACTCGGGGACATTGTTGATCATGCTCTAAGTGTGTTCACGGGTAGATTCACTTGAACCACTACCTAAAAGTCTCAACTTACAGCACCAATTGTTTCCCAGACTGCAACAAAACAAAGCAAAAATAAAGTCTTTGTGGGACGGAGGGAGTAGTATATAGAGACAACACGTATATATAAGCTTGTAGGTTTTTTTTTTTGCGCCATGTAGATACTTGTTGAGTGTAGAGGCCACGTTTTAATTAATCCATTATAAAAAATTTATAACCTTTGTAATTTGAAAGTATGATCGTAACTATGTAAGTAAGTACTCTAAAAGTGGATCCTGTAAAAAAATTACGATTTACTGGTGCATCGGTATCAGGATACATTAGTTTCACTCGGTAAATAGTATCACTTTCATTCTGTTAGTTATGGATTTCCCTAGAGATCATTGTATTGTGTCTAACTCTAAAACTTCTTATATTCTGGGACAAAGGGAGTACTATCATGGTATTTATGTCTGCATGTACTTAATTAATTTCTACCCCTATATAGATCACAAACTTAGTGTCCCTTGACTTTAAGAAATTAATAAGTTGTGGGCCCCACGACTAGCGGACTCATGTATGTTAGGGAGTCCCTTTGCAACAATTTGGCTATTCTAGTCCATTTCCACTCTCAAGTAAGGGTGCAACTAGTGGGTCAACTCACGATTCACAAACCCCACCTATAGGCCAACAAACATAAAAAAAATCTATCTCTAAAATTTTGTTTTTGAAATTCCTAATTTGATTTTAATATGTAGATAGATTTTTACATCCAACGGATATCTTAAGTTAAGTTCCAATAATAAAATGTGGACCCGCATCTAACTAACCGAAAAACAAATCGCTCCGCCCATCCCCTTCCCATGCACTATCCTCTTCCCGCGTATCTAGATATGCATTCAAAAATAATGGATTCCAATCTTTGAATGCATATCTAGAGATTGGGAGCGAGAGCATCTCCTGACGTGTCGAGAGGAGAAAGAAGGAAAAATGGATTCCAATTTTTGATGTATATCTAGAGATCTGTAGGAGTAATTTTTCATAAAAGAAACTCTAATTTTAAAATTGGGTTTCACTTAGGGATATTGTTGATCATGCTCTAAGTGGGTTCACGGGTGGACTCACTTAACCACTACCTGAGAGAGTCTCAACTTACAGCGCCAACTGTTTCCCAGCCTGCAACAAAACAAAGCGAAAAACAAAACCATTTCAAAATACTAATGTACGGCCATTTATAAAGCATGATATCAGATGCTCCAATTACTCACAAGTAAACAAGTCTCTTGCAGAGTTGCAGTACTACTCTGCTGATGCAGGCCGGGTCACCGGCACTACATATTCTGGATGGATGCCTGAAACAGTAGGACCGGCAGCGGCGACCTCGCTGACAAGATCATCAGCTTCAAATAACTCAAAAGGAGTTTTTGTACAATAGCTAACTCTGCCATTAGATTCTGGCCAAATGAACTCCATGACAAGAAGAGCCATTGACATTGCTCATACCCAGAAGAGGTCACACTGCTGTTGCAATATAATTCAGTATAGTATTACATGACGTTGACGACACACTGCCTGCTTAGATACGTAGTATATATACATACATGCAGATAAGCATTGGATTGGATTGATTGCCTCCTGTGCTACACTTGCTTGTCTAATTTATTAATCCGATGCTTACATGTTCATGTCTCAATCAGACTTGTTCCTTTTTCCTGCTGCACCAAAAGGAATTATTGATATTATTATCATCAACCTGGGTGTTAGCTTCCGTACGTCGTCTAAATTGTAAGGGATTGTCAAGTCAGATTAGAAGCATCGTCTGTAAGAGAGATTGTTAGTTTGTAATTGATTGCACGAGCCATCGGATTACCTGCATGACAGTGACAATGGAGATGACTTGACTACTTGTGCGTGTGATGGCCGTATCCGGTCTCTAGAACGGCACACATCCATTTTTCCATAGCAACTCAAGAACTGCAGCTTGGTGGATGAAAGATTGATCTTGACCTGCATCCACCTTCCCTTATCTCTGACTGATACTCCCAACACTTGTGCGGATCATGACAGCCTGCATGAGACACAACGGCACAGCTGATGGGTATGCAGGTAGGAACAGGCAACCTGGTTCATCCAAGGTTTATGAAAGAAAATGCAAATGGCACTATGGCAGTCAAACAATCTTTTATTTTGAAAATGAGGTTGGTACTGTACAATTTCTTGCAAACCGAAATGTAGGGTCTGAAGTTGAGGAGCATCATTACCTGTAGCTAGCCTGTCGATTCTGCACGGATTTGGTGTTCTAGAGAATGGCGCGGACCTGAAATAAAAAAAGCCAGCATAGAAAACGACATGCCAATCTGTGTTCAAGGATTCAAACCTGATTTGAGAAAATTCTGAAGCTCTCCAAATTTGACATAGCAATCAGTTGTAGGATAGGTTCCAACACCTCTGAAAGTTCTTTGCTAACCTGCAGCCACTAGAATTTTCAATGCATCAGTTCACGTAGTTGGACAATACAATTTGAAAACATGACATGTTTGGCACCTTGCTGGCTGTTACTCCACAACTCAGCAACAAACTGACAGATGCGATCTAGATTCTAGAAGACTGAGAAAAGCAATACGAATTAGATGCAGCTCAGAGAGGAGGGAAAGAAATGTAAGTGTGAAACTAATTTGGAATCGGAAAGCAGAGCTCTCTGTCAATCATGTGCCCGCAGCAAACATTAACTCAAGCTTCTAAGGAAAGAAGTCCACTCTAACAATTTAAAAAAGAAATGATGCACTCCAAAAGGTTCTCTAGGTTCATTCCAGTTCAAGAAACCTGTTACCGCTACAAAATCAGGTTTGGCATGAACTTCCAGAAATCCAAACCAAGGGCCATGACTTAGGGTGTGTTCTTTAGTCAAGGTTTCCAACTTTACCTCCATCATTTTCCACGCAAACGGTGCATTTTTTGCCAAAAAAATAATTCTATAGTAAAGTTACTTTAAAAAATCATATTAATCCATTTTTAAGTTCTTTTAAGCTAACACTTAACTAATCATGTGCTAATCTGCTGCTCCATTTCCGTGTGTGGATGATTAGCTCCCAACCTACACTAAACACAGCCTTAGAGAAACATAAACAGATGTAGTGAATTAGTATGGAGCTGTACAACAATTACAAATTGCAACAGATAAAAAATGTTAAAAGGGGCCTCAAGCCCAACTCACCTAGCCGAAAATACAGTAGTATATTCCTCAATAAAAAGCAGAGATAAATCCAGGAAGTACTAACACATATGACTCACTGTCAAGCAAGCTGTAAGTTTTGGCCAAAAAGGGAAGAGTTACAACCTAGTGTAAAAAAAAGGAAGGATAATAAGTTACAAACTTCCATTACAATACATTGTCTATGCAATCCACATCAGCTGAACAAGCAATCAAATGACAGATGATGTACTGAATTAGGTCTGACCAACTAAAACAATTGCCATCTCTTCACTTTCACTCGAATAGTTTGCTGATCTATGCAGATTATACGTAGCTAAATGAGAAGTGGGGACAGTTAACAATAATATGCTCAGCAGCAGTTGAGCGAAACATAAACTAGCCTATCTCAAGCATCATACACAATATAGTCAAACACAACTAAACATGTTTGTGCAAAAGAAAATACATCTCACCAAAAGATATCAGCAATAATACAAGCAAAGTTACTCTTTCAGAAATTTTATTAGCTGTATGAAGGTCAGAATTGTTACATAACGTTATCAACTGAATCCTCTCTGCTCCCCGTACTCCCTTTTACATTTACAGCTTCAGTATATCCTATACTCCATTTTTTCTGTACACAACAATAGATGAAAATCTTACAGCCATAAACATCATAACTGATCAACAGAAGCAGGCTCAGGCCGGGTCATGAGCCATGCGCCGTTCAACAAATGCAAGCACAATGCTATGCAGATTGCAGCGATAACCATGGACCTTTCGCTCATGTGCCTCAAGGCACACAATCCAGCCCCAATCGCGGCATCACCCCCAGCCCTCGCGCCTTCATGAAGTCTCCACATCACAAAGTCGAGAAACGATCGCACTGCCTCAAATGTTGCCCTCCCAGTCAAATCCAGCACGAGCCTCCGGTTGCTCGGCACCGCAAGCACGGTCGACACCGTCTCCACCCATCCTTCCCCATCCCCACCATTGCCACTACCACTACCACTACCATTGTTACTACCATTTTGATTGGAATTGGCATTGGGGTTAGGGTTAGATAGTACACTATGGGATGTTTTTACCAGTGTCTCCATGGAGGCATTGCAGAGTGCGACGAGAAGCTGCTGTAGCCTGGCGCCATAGGAGGGGTTCGTGGCGGCGGCGAAGAGCTGGTCGTAGGTGTTGATGTGGATGGTCTTGTCTATGAACACCCCCACGGCGGTGGCCGTGAAGACCTCGACCCAGCTGCGGATCGCTCTCCGGCAACTCCCGGTGGTGACCACATCGACCCAGCTCGGCGACGACGAGCCCGACGAAGGATCGGACGGGGCGGAGTAGTAGGCGAGCACGAGCTGGCTCCCGAAGCTGCCGGCGACGGCCGACGCGAGGCGCTCGCCGGAAGGGGATAGGATCCTGTCGAGCAGGCGGTCCGAGAAGGCCGCCTCGTCACCGGAGGAGGAGGCGGCGGCGGCGGTGGCGTAGCCGCGGATCACGCCGGTGGTGAGGGCCCCGGAGAGCGCGGAGGCGGAGGCGGAGGCCTCGGGAGAGGAAGCGAGCTTGGAGAGCTGCCTGACCGTGGGGGGGATGGAGTCGGAGTCGGAGCGGAGGAAGGCGGCGAGGTCGGAGGCCACGTCGGCGACGGCGTCGGCGAGGGACGCGAGGGCGGAGGCGACGCGGGCGATGCGGCGGCGCCGCGCGGCGACGGCCGGGTGGTGGTATACCAGGTAGGCCCCCGCGGAGGCGCCTGCCCACGCGAGCCAGCGGCGGCGGCGGCGGGAGAAGGCGAGGAGGCGGTCCATGGCGCGGCGGCGGCGGCGGCCGGAGTTGGGTTTCGGATGGGGAACTCTGCTCAAGGGCTCCATGAGTACGTGGCGTGTGGTGATGGGTAGCTCGCATTTTCTTTTTTTTCTTTTTTATTTTTTAGAGGGATAGTAGACTCGCAAATTGGATCGTGGAAAATAAATTTGGATCCAATTTGGCCCAATACAAACTTCTATTATTCCATTTAGGCCCATCTTGGTGGGCCCATTCGAGTTTTTAAAGTCTAGAACGAAATTTGCAAAGTGGTTAGGCCGAATTTTGACCGCACACGGGGATTTCGTACCTAATTTGGCCCGTGACAGTTTAGAGTAGTGACAGATGAGAAGTGTATCTAATCCAATTCGGCCCGTCCATTTTTGGATTCTTAATAAGAGTATTTGTAATTTTTAATAGTACTCATTCCAAAATAAATAAATAAATAGTACTATTCTGTATGCAATTTTTGTCAAGCACTGTATAGGAGTATGAGATGGCAAGAGATCGGGTTAAACACATCATGCACTAAGATGTACACGTGGACGCAGGGGATTGGTTTGGTGAACGCATCAACAGAGATGGATAATGCAAGTGGGTTCTGTGGGTGGATGGCAGCTGCAGCTAGTAAAGTCTCCGTCACTATCTGCTTTGTCAACTTAATCTCTTCTTCTTTTGTGCATGGAACAACGCGTGGATTCATTCAGTATACTGGTTCGTACACTGAAGTTTGTAGTATATTTTTTGCAGTATTCAACGGAAGATACACATCATCATCATCCATGCGAGAGATTTTCTTATTCTTCTTTTTTTCCGAGATATGTATGTGCCAAAAGTCAAAAACAGTTTCGAGTTGTTCTGTTGTTTCCGATGGATTTTTGTTGTTTCCTCGATTAGCTAGTTTAGCCGGTGCGCAGCAATCCACTTCTGAATCTGACAGACATGTTCGTGGTTTCTGAATGAGAATGAAAAAAAAAAAGAAACATAATGCTTTATGCTTAATGTTGAAGGGTCTGACATAACATAAGCCTGCAATTTTCTCCTCTCCGTAACTCCGTTACTGCAGGCAGGTTCAAACCCTCTAGATGGAGTAGTAATTTGTGTGCGAAAATGCAGTAGAAATGACGGTAATTAGTGCACGATTAGTCAATCGAATCAGCAGTATTAACGGCAGGCGATCGATCGCCATGTCCGAGGTGAGCGGCAGCGACGACGAAGGGCTTGTTTTGGAGTCCCGAGCCGGCCGCCCGGCGGCAGCGTAGGCAGATGGTCGGCCGGCAGAGTCAAAACAAAAGATCTCGCCAACAGGAAGGTTAAACTTTGGAATTTATCTATCACTCGTAAACCTCGAAAACACAATGCCTCTGAATAAGCGAGCGAAATTAGACAGCCAGTCAGGCAGGTCCAGATTCCAGCAACGCCGCATTTACACGGGACCAGCAATTTGAGCTCTTTGTTTTATCGTCTCTGACAGCGTCTTCCAAACCAAGAAAAAAATGCATGTTAAGGTCAGGTCAGGCCAGGAGAGATGAGCAGTTTATCATTTTGCATCAGACTCAACAGCTCACCAGTTATCAACATCCACAATAACGCTACTAGTAGTGGAGTTACCTGCTAAGTGTCCATCAGAACCAGATAGCTACTAAGAGTCCTGCTCCCTCAATTCTAAAAATATAAGAGACAACTACCATTGATCCAAAGATAAAGAAATAATTATTATCATCTTATTGTTATAAGTATAAAACCTGTTTAAATTGTAGCCAAAATAAACCTTACCAAATTTTTGCAATACCAAAATTTTAGTAAGATACCAAAATTTTGGCAGGATTTCTTATGTATTTAGCAAATTTAGTAACAACTAAACGTAGACATTTTTTTATAACTTTACCAAGAAAATGGTATGGTTGAAAATGACATCAACGTAAACCGAACCATAATGTATGGATCCAATAAAATTTAGATTTAAAGATAAATGATAAAAATAATAATTTAGTGAAGATAAGATGCTAGTTAATTGATTATACGCATACATGTTTTTATTGTAGTTATGCCTTATATATTTTGGGATGGAGGGTGTCTGTTCAGGTTAAGATTGAACCCACTTAGAGCAGGTACAATAGCAGGCTATAAGCCAGCTGCAAACATATTTTAAGGAGATAAATAAAGAGAGAGAAGAGCAGCGGGCTACAGATTTGTAGCCAGCTGTAGCACGGACTCCAAGACGCAGTGTGTGCATGACAGGTGGGACCAGGTATTAATAGTGTAGTATATAACTATTGTATGGATGAGCTATTAGATTGGCTATAGATGAATTGGAGTTAGTAGTTGGCTATACTATTATACTTACTCCTACTATAAGCTTATGTGAAAGAGAGATGTAACAAAAAGTTAAGGGGTGTTGGCTCTCATGCAAGAGCTAGCTTAACACAAGCTCCAAGACAAATACAATTAATGTATAAGTGAGAGATAGAGAGAGGAGAAGAAAATTGTAGCCAACCTTATAACTAATTTATTATATGTGTTGGCTTTAAGATTAATTAATAGTAAGAAGTGAGTCCTATTATTATCCCTGCTCTCAGTGACTGACAGGCAGCTCAACCACATCGATTCGCCACGCAGCAACACCACTTGCACCACCGCCCCTCGTCTCAGCTCATCTCCTCGTCAAACTTCGCTTTCCCCAAAGTCTTCCTCTTCCCTCCTCTCTCTCTCTCTCCCCCATCTCCATGCCGCCATAAGTATCAGCAGCATCGCACCCGGAATCGGAATCCCCAAACCCAACCCCATCACCCCCCAACAACAAGAGATCATCGAAGCCCCAACAAGTCGCATGACATCCATGGCGACGCCGCCGCCCAAGACCCTCCTCCTGCTCGTCCTCGCGCTATCCGTCATCCTCGTCTCGGCCACCGCGTTCCACCACCACCACCACCACGACGGAGGAGCCGAAGCTGGAGGAGGAGGAGGAGGGGGAGGCGGGTTCTTCGAGGTGCCGTGGTTCGGCCCGCCGGGGGGAGGCGGGTGGGGGGCGTGGGGAGCCGGCTACGGCGGCGCCGGAGGACACGAGATGGCGCGGCCGTCGACGGTGTGCATGGAGAAGGGCGCCTGCTACAAGAAGCGGCTCACCTGCCCGGAAAAGTGCTTCAAGTCCTTCAGCTTCAAGGACAAGCACGGCGGCGGCGGCGGCGGCGGCGGCGGGTGCAGCTTCGATTGCAACAAGTGCGAGGCCACCTGCTAATTAATCAAACCGAATGATCCATGGATGGCGAAGAATCGATGGCCCTCTCTACTGAAACTGATGGATGTGTATGGTATGGGGTGTTGAATTAATCGTCAGTTATTAGAGTTTTGTTAATTAGCTACTTACTGAATGGAATGGAATGTAATGAAATATATTTTGGTGAGCTGCGAGAGTCTGTAAGTATTCAGGTGTGTGTGTGGTGTTCTTGATGATAATGATGAATAAAACGAGAGGAATTCATCGATTCTTTGACCGTATGAATTTGATTTGAGCTGAGCTGAGCAGCAATAGTAGTAGCGAACTTTAACGATCAGCACTTCGTCTCTTCTTCTTGTCCTTCACATCGTCCGTAGAATTGTCAAGCAGTCCATAGTGAAGGAATTTTTTTTCCTACTTATTACTGGTACAGGATTAAATTGTTTTCCAACAAAAATAAATCTTCCAATCCAAAGAGCCTCTTAATCAAAATCTACGAGAAGGTTGATGCTGAGCCGACTGATACATTAGTTCGGTTTGCCGGACTGATTACAGGCGGAGATGATTTCGACGTAGAACTACCAGCTGCTCTCGTTGATTTCCCTATCAAAAATGAAACCAGCTAGTTTTTCTTTTTTTAAAAAAACACGCTTCAAGAAGTTTCATTTCGTTGCAGAGTCAAATCAACAACAACAATGAGAAGAAGAAAATGCATGAATTCCGTCACCAAGTTAAAGTTGGAGCTGATGTGAACAGAATGAAAATGTGTAGTCAAAGATGGATAGTTGAGCTGGGCCAACAGCCCATCCATAGCCTAGGCCAGCCCATCACTTGCTCTGGATTTTGGTACGTTTGCCTTCCGTGGGCTTCTCATGTGGATAGATGGGTCATGGGCGCGGCCGCGCGGGCTGGGCTAATGGATTTGGAGTTGGTTCACTTTTCAATTGGGCCAGGCCCTCCAGGAAAATTTGCTGGATTACTTTCAACTGGGCAGCCCTATTAGTAGTTGGGCCGCCTTCCCCCATTTGTCATGCTCATTATCTCATCAAGAAATGGTTGGGTTTATGTCTTTCATGACGAGATTAGTCATGGATATTTTTCTCTTCTCTCAATACAGCTTGTTTGGTTCACAGAGGTGAGAGAGTGCATTTCATTAGTTCAGAGTACATACTGTCCTGTTCTTTTCTGATTAAGATCCAGATTTTATCTCGGTCTTAATTAGTACACTTTTCAAACTACTAACAATAGATTTTTTACGAAAACTTTATATATAGAAGTTGCTTTAAAATATCAAATATATCTATTTATCAAGTTTTTAATAATTGAATTTAATTAATCATGCGCTAATGATTTTCCCGTTTTACGTACGTCAACTTAATCTTTGTAATAAAAGATTCAGTATTTTGTGCAGTGTGTTCGTTCTACTAGCATCTTCATGGAAGGAGGGGGAAAAAGGAACACCTTCCATCTACACACACACACACACACACACACACACACACACACACACACACACACACACACACACACATATATATATATATATATATATATATATATATATATATATATATATATATCCCAATTGTCGTCTGTCCTGTTCTGAATATTTTTCTTGTTATTATCTTGGTCGTATGCTGGAAAACATGCTGTTTTATCGCACGTTGATCCCATGGGATGCCGGCATCATATGATCACACGACTTTTCACCTTTCCTCGACCTCCTGAAGCCTCCAAACCAAAGAACAAATTACGACAAACCAGGCAAAAAAAAAAAAAAACCACACACCAAACTATCTCAACTCTGAAAGTCTGAACTTCTGAAGTCCAAAACCGAAAGTCTGACTGATAACACGCACGAATTAATGATTCCGAGAAGAAAGAAAGACTCTTACTAATCCAATGGGGGATAGATGGCGATGCTAACTAAAAATACGCCAAAATTTCTTCCCTCTACCGACGGCTCGTGTCTGACTTGCTGACCGGTGAAAATTCGGCGTAAAAATCCTAAACCTTTTGCCCATCTCGCGTATGTTGAAAGCATCTGTTTTTCTATATTTTAATCTTAATCTAATCAGTTGCCGTCACTTGTCAGTCATCAGGATCGCGTGTTCTGACTATCCATTTGGGGATTTCTTTTTTCTTCCCAATTTTGTTTGTCTCCTCTGTCCACGAATATAAAACTATTTTTCAAAACAGTGATAAGTTAAATATTTTTAAATTTAATCGTTAATATAAAAGTCATAAATACTAACGATGTAAAAATGATATTATGTAGATTTATCCTTAAAAAAAAACCATCATAATATACAACTCTAATACGTTTTAGAGGTATTATTGGTCAAGGTAGCACATTGGATATCGCATTGATATCTAAAATGCTTATAATTATGTAAGAAGATGGTAGATGTATATTTAATGAAAAGTCATCTTCCTCCTTGGTCCAAAATAGTATCTCCATCCCAAAATATATGATGCCGTGGATTTATCGTATAACGTTTAACTATTTATTTTATTATTAAAATAATATATAAAAATTATTTATTTTATTGTGACATGTTTTATCACTGAAGAAACTATAAATTAACTTATAATTTTATATATTTATATTAATTTTTAAAATAAGACAAATGATCAAACATTATGAAAAAAGTTAATGGTGTCATGCATTTCGAAATGAAGATAATACTTGTGAAGTTTCAAGCAGCCACTGATTGGTACCTACATATTCTCAATTTTGTTAAAGTTTAATCAGCTTATCAGCATGGGCAATTACCAACGTGACAGATTACCAAAAACTATACTAGGACCAATGACCATTGAAGTAAATCAACGCGTGCTTTTGTTCGAAGACTTTTCTGTAGATGCACGTGGATTTGCATGGGAGATATATGTTGCTGCTGTTGTTTTCTGATCAGAATTTCAGAACCGTATGTCCTAAAAAAATTCAGAACCCGTATTGTGGCCTGGATGGGCCAGGAGATGAGGAGATGATGGAGATATCTCATGTTCCAACGACCATAGAACAGAACGATGATACTCTCTCCGTTTTAAAATATTTAACACCTTTGACTTTTTAGCACATATTTGACTATTCGTCTTATTAAAAAAATTCATGAAATATGTAAAACTTATCTGCACGTGAAAGTATATTTAACAATGAATCAAATGATATGAAAAGAATAAATAATTACTTAATTTTTTAAATAAAACGAATGGTAAAAACGTACTAAAAAGTCAACGGTGTCAAACATTTTGAAACGGAGGGAGTATTATACATAACTGTTTCATGCTGCTACTGCTGTTGTTATCTATAACTCATCGCTGAATTAATTGTCATGGATGGTTCCATGATGTAAGTGGGCAAGTCCACGAACCCACCTATAATATAAATAAACAGTAACCTGTCTAGTTATCTACTAATTTACTCTATCCCAAAATATAAGAGATTTTGAAGGGATGTGACACATTCTATTAACACGAATGTCACATTCTTTAAAATCTCTTATATTACAGAACAAATAGAGTATATTATAAGTGGATTCGTGAACCTGCCTGCTTGCACCTGGTTCACAGCCCCATCCTTTTATCCATTGCTGGTTATAAGCCATGAATCCATGATGCATATTAGTTCTTAACAACTTAAAATCCAATCAAAATCCAAGGATGAAAAGTAAAGTAAAAGAACAATAAAATGATCTTTAAAATTATGATTTAAAATTTAATTCTAATTGCGGTAGATATAAACAGGAGAGCAACGATGGAGTCGTTCCAATCTGATAGTGTTTGCATAAAGGAAGAGAGATAAACGTCAGGAAATTTAATTAAGAGCGATTAGTCGTCATTGCCACTCATGATTATATAATTAAGAACGGTTTGAGCGTGTGATCACTAAAAGAGAGCCAGCCAGGCCATACATACGTCAAGCATTTTTGCTTGGACAAGTCAATAATACCTAATTATTTTAACCAAGAAAAGCTGATAACAATATCATACTCCATATTTCATCTATTTGGTACTGGGACCGAGTGATACGTGGTAGCAGTAGCACACACTAATTTAGTAATTTTTAGTATGATCGGAAACGTCACTCTGTTTCTCCTACGCAATTAGGTATATTTAACCCAAAGATTTAGCTCTCTCTCTCTCTCTCTCTCTCTCTATATATATATATATATCTAAGCTTATCGATCTATTGATTGCGTGCTCATCTATATTAGCCCTATACACGAATGAATGAGAAGTTGAGAACAGCGCAAAAAAAAAAAACATCCACCTTATTAGTCAATAGCTAAATTTATGATACTTATAACACATTGGAGGAAAACATTGTTAGTTGCCACCGACGAATTAAAGTCGAATTCCACAAACATGATCTTAACCAACAAATCAAATTTCTTCCATAATGATGGTAGTATGATTATGTCAAACATGATCTCAACTGACAAATCAATTTTCTTCCCAAATGATAGTAGTACTTATCACCATTTCAGTTAGTTAATTAACAGTTATTAGTCAACTGATGGTGCCATGTCATACGGTGAGTTCTCATTTCCCCCGTGGTGATTAGTGATTAGATTGAACGGATTTCTCCCCTATTTGCTCGGAGTTACGGTGATGATCCGAATGTATTGGAGCCATGCATGCCGTGGCCTTTGATGCATGTAGATCCAGCTATATACGGATAAGATTTTAAAAAAAACCCAATGCATTTTTCCTTTTACCATTCATTTCGGCGAACCATTGTTCTGTCGATCCATCGGTATCCTGGTCAATTGGCAAGTTGACGAAATGCCCCATGAGCTTAATTTGCTGGTTGGTTTATCAGATACATCCAAATTCAAATGTAAAACTTAAATTTATTTTGAGTTGGTTTTGAGATTTTTTTCATTGTAATTTATTTTTAGCACTGGTTTTTAAATCACTAAGAAAACAACCCATTTTGATGAATTCGTTTATTTTGTCCCACAAAACTAATAGCACTATCCACTTTGAACAAACAAGATTTATTTAATTATGACCATTCGCTAATCCGGCCAAGACCTTTCTCTCTTCTCTCCCTCTATAAAAAGCCTCTTCCTCATTTCCTCTTCCATTTCTTCTCCTACTTGTTGGCTTCTATCTCCTGTTAATTAATTTCTCAAGATTAGTAGTAAAAGGGTAGGGTATTAGTGGCGTGATTAATTTGGCGGGAGCAGCGATGAGAAGTGGCGGGAGCGGCGGCGGCGGCGGCGGCAAGCTGGTGAGCTGGCTATGGCGGGCGCCGCGCCGGGCGCTGTGCCGCGCGCGGGACTTCTACGTGCGGAGCATCACCGGCTGCGCCGGCCACCTCCCGCCGGACGCCGCCTTCGGCTACGGCTACCCGACGTTCGCCGCCCCGACGACGCCGACCATGTCGAGGAACAGCAGCTTCGCCTCCTCCCGCTACTCCGCCGGCGGCGGCGGCGACGACGACATGCGCGAGCTCGTCCGCGCCGCGTCGCAGAGGCTGGCGGCGGAGCGCGCCGCCGCGGCCGCGGAGCCGGCGACCGTGCCGCGGAGCCAGAGCGTGGCCATGGCGAGGATCGACGAGGACCGGCCGTGCGAGTTCGCCGGAGTTGGGCTGGTGTTCCCCCGGAGCCAGAGCTGCGCCGTGGGCGCCGGCCGCGTCGGTGGGCGGAGGGGGAGGGTAGCTGCCGTGGCATGAACCACCGCCGCCGATCGCCGCCGGCGATTCTTGCGTGCGGTGAGGCGTAGAACGAAAGCGAAGGACACGAACACACGACGTGTTCTTGTTCAAATTTCGATGTTTTCTTTTTCTTCTGCTCCAAAATTTGCAGCTGCGATCTGTAATTCTTGTTGTTTGCCACTATTGATCTTCATTTTTTTATATTGTTCTTGTTCATCTGTAAACATCCCATTAAGAAGAACAGAATTAAATTACTCGTTTGGTTGGCTTGGTCGACCGAGGTAAAAAACTGAGAGGATTTTTAAGGTGATTTTCACCCTAGGCGAGATGGATTCAAAGATATATCAGATATCTTTGAATTTCGGGTGAATTTTCAAGCTAGGGAGATAGATTCGAAGATATCTGCATCAGAAATCTTGAGGTAGATTTCGTCGGCAGCCCATGCGATCCTATCCTTGTGTCGATTGGTGTTGAATAATTCATCTGGAGTAGTATGCGGAGTCAAATCCCGTTTTAACCAGTCAACGGTACACCAACCATTCGGAAACCGAAATGGTGAAAGCTCTGTCACTATTTTGTTCTCTATTATCCAATGCAGGATTATCTTTAATTTTTTGTTTGAGATGTAACGGTTGCTTGAAGGAACGTATCAAAACAAAGGGCCTCATCGGTTGCCCTATAGTTTATAAGCCAAAGCCAAAATTTAAATTTTAAAACTTGATTTTGAATTTGATTTTAATGTTTTTTCAACATAGTTTTTTTCAACTTTGGCTTTTCAATCACTAAGAACATACATACAAAAGTTTTACTCACATATCATTTTTTAATCGCTAATAAGCCGTTATGGCTTATAATAAGATGCGGGCAACCGATGGGGACCAAAGGATTGGAATATCTAAGAAAATTTCTTATACACGCCTTATAGAGCATTTTGAGATTATCAAATTCCTATGGATTAATTTCTTAATTCTTATGCCCCAAATGACACTTCTCCTTTTGTCTCTCTACTTCCTCTCTCGTATCCACCAAATTCCTGTGCATTTTTATATCTCCATGAGATTTGGTAGCGCGTGACATTGTAACACGCGTGTTTTTGTAATTTAGAGTATGACCAACAACTTACTTATTCTATTCTATATCCTCAGATTTAAATCGCATCCAACAGAATCTTCCAATAATCCAGGTTCCCAACTCCGGGTATTGCGAGATGAAGGAGGAGTTGGCCACGCGGTGCGCGCATAGGGATCAGGGTATTGCGAGATGAAGGAGAAGCTGGCCACGCGGTGCGCGCATAAGGAGCAGCAGAAAAAACTAATTTTCTCTGTTGGTAGTTAAAGGGAGGGAGGGGTTACTGATTAGTTTTCTCACTTCCTATATTCATTTTAGAAGCTTAAAAAAACATAGCTTTGGGATTTGATTATTGTCAATCTCTTGGTGATGCTCTTAGAATATTGCGTTCCAAAGGAGTACTAGATTTTCTTTAAAAGGAATCACATAGAACACACCACCTATATATACCTAGCCCTACCATATTTTTAAACTAAGTAAAAGTCACTAAGTTTCAATTTTTCAAAATTTTCTTCGAACTTAACCATAAACATCAAACTTCTACACCACAACTATTCTTACTGTTGGGCTTGGCCCAGCCGCGCCGAACACTGTCGCAAAACCACGAAGCTGAAGCCTAGTTGGGCCGGAAAGGAATATCCAAGAAGTGTTGGTCCGAAACGTGGCAGCAAGAAACATTTTGGCCCATTTGAGAGCCCACAAGCTATCCGGCCCATCTTCTATAAGAACGAAACGATGATACCATCGTGTCAGTCTCGACTCGTCGGCTCGCCTCCTCCCTTCGCCGTCGCCGATCTCTCTCTCCGCCTCGCCTCCTCCGCCGCGCGCCGCCCGTACGACGGCGCCGCCGCCTCCATGGCGCAGTACCACCTCAGCGCGCAGCTACGCGGCCACGAGGATGACGTAAGCGTCCCCTCCTCCCTCCCTCCCGCACCTCTCGGCGTCGCTTCTCGCCTCGTCTCCGCTTTGCTTCTCCCGCAAGTCTGCGCGATTCCGCCGTCGTTCCCCGATCCGAGCGCTCGCCGGTGGGGGGCTCGGGTCCGCTCGCGGACGCCGCGGGCTGCGGTATCGATCTGCTATAGTAGGGCGATGGCGCGTTTTGTTGCGGGGACGGCGGTGCTGCTTGCGGCTCCGAATTGGGGGTAGCTCGACCTAGCTTGGTTGCGCTCGCTGTTCTAGCTCTCGCGCTCTCCTCCTGTTTGTTCGGTGCCTTACTTGGGTTCGTAGATTTCAAACGCTCGTGCATTGCTAGTTTAGTTTAGTTCGGTCGGCAAGCTTGCTTAGTGTCAGAGCCAACTGCTGTTTTGATTGCTAGTTCGGTCGGCAAGTTCTACCCAATCTATCGCATGTGAATTCACTGTGTTACTGTGGATTTTGGGGGTTTAGTGGAGGGTTATCGTGGATGTCCTCGCCAGTGATTATTGTACTTTGGGTAATTAGTAGATTGGTGAACTCGTGAGTGATCAGTTGCTTGGTCTCAAATTTGATGTGATTCTCTTCATTTCGTATCACAGTAGAACTTCCTGTTCCCTGCTCCACCCGATCTCAGTAATTCAGTCCCATCCAGAATGTTCCTTGTCAATTTGACAACATTTTCGTCCTTTTTTTTTCATTACAAAGCATGTTTTGTTATGCATGTCTGTGCCTGTAGAATGCGTATCTTATATGACATGAGCTAATTGCAGCTTTTCTTTGTGCGATCCTCAGGTTTTTCAATTTCAGCGCAATATAGTTCAATTATGCTTATTGTGCCCTTCCACATTAACAACACATTCTTCTAATTTTACATTTGCAAGCACACTTGTTTCATGGTCTGCTTATTGCGATTTACTCCTCAACAGGTTCGTGGCATTTGTATCTGTGGGGATGCTGGGATTGCAACATCCTCAAGAGACCGGACAGTGAGATTCTGGACACAGCACCCAGAAAAGAAGCATGAATACGTTCTCTCGAAGACTCTTGTTGGACATTCCAGTTTTGTGGGACCATTGGCTTGGATCCCTCCTTCAGACCGCTTTCCTGAAGGAGGACTTGTTTCTGGTGGAATGGATACTCTTGTTTTGCTCTGGGATTTGCATAAAGGAGAGGTTGTTGAGACTATGAAGGGTCACACTTCACAAGTTACTGGACTTGCTGTAGACAACAATGGCGACATCATCTCTTCATCCATGGATTGGTAGGTTTTCTCTGAGAAATCAATATAATTCTATGCTGCTTTCTTATATGGCTTGGTTCTGTTTCTGCTTGCTAATTACTATCCTATGCTAATTTCATTAAAAAAATGTATGTTGTCAATGGCATAATGTAACATGCTATGATAATTTGTATAGCTTTGGCACCTTCTTATTTATGGATCACTCATTTTCTTTCATTTTGTGCCAATTCATGTTTCTACTTCTGTTTCCTTTTCCTTTGAGGCTCTGTTGCAAATGTTACTACTAATAATTTGTGTCAAAAGCTGCCTCTAAGTATTTGGTATTTTAGGCACACGCATCTGCTATTTACTCTTTCTTAAATTGTTTGTTCTAATGACAGGATGGCCTAATACTAATAAACAATTAAGGGTCCTTATTAGAGTGGTTTATTGTTGTCCTATCTGATATATGTATTGCCAATTGTCCATACAGCACTGTAAGACGGTGGAGAAATGGCAGTGTAGTAGAGGTTTGGGAAGCTCACAAGGTTGCCGTGCAAACTGTTCTGATGCTGCCATCTGGAGAACTATTTACTGGTAGAGCATCTGTTATGCCTTCACATTTATTTCGTTTTTACTTGGTACTTGTTTATTTTCTGTATTTGTGCACTGGCACCTTGTTCATAACTGATCCAATGTGATTGGTTTGAGCTTCCTATCAAACTTTTGGAATCTGATGGTTTACTGGAAATATCCCGAAAGCAATGGTTCATCTGGAATTGTTTTGGCTTTTTGAAAGTACTTATAATAGTAATTCTTATTGGATGTACTAAGTAGCTATGTGTCTAGCAACCGCTACCTTAGAGGCGAAGGAAAATGGGTTTACTAGTATAGGTAAACGTCTCAATTTCCACAATACAGTGCAGGGGGTACAAAATGCATACTGAACCTCAATTTATTATAGTGTTTCCTGGGACTTGTTCTGAACAAATGTGACCAAAAATTCGTCAAATGATCTATTGATGCTTTTCCTCCTTCATACAGGCTCAAGTGATTCCACAATTAAGTTTTGGAAAGGAAGGACATGTCTACATACATTCACAGGACATGCAGGTTATTTGCCTGTTCCTAATGCATAATACTCTGTTTATTGTTTATACTTTCTTGGACATTGACACAAATGTATATGTGTGCAAGGGTGCTTCTACTGTAATAGTGTGGTTCACCAGATAGCTGAGAGTTGTCAATTTTACTCTGGTCAATTTTTTTTTCTCACTTTAGAATTGATTCTGGTTGCACTGGAGCAAAATGTTATGCATTTGTTTTATGCAAAGAGAAAAATATCATTTATGAATTGATTGTCAGTGCCCTTCTCAATATATAAGCATAAGTTTGTTTTTGTGTTTTGTTGCTAGCTCACCCATGTTTATTTGACCTCATTTTGTGTAACATTGTTACGGCAGATACTGTTCGATGTTTAGCACAAATGCCAGGGCTCGGGATCCTCTCTGCCTCACATGATGGGTGAGTAACCAGCTTCACTTACAAATAGAGAGATAAAAACTGTCGGTTTGTCTCGAACTAGAAAAGCAGCACATTTACATTATTGTTTGATCATTGTTATTGCTGTTGCTTCTTCTAAGGCCTACTTCTCATGCAGGGGCCCTTTGGTTTACTAAAAAAATTTAGCCACCCCTTAATCCTTTTTTTTAAAATTTTATCACACACATGTGCATCACTGTATTTTATCACGCACGCTCGCAAATGATATTTTGTTTGGTCACAGCACTATTAAGGTGTGGGCATTAACTGGCCAGCCCCTGTTGGAGATGATTGGACACACTTCTCTTGTGTATTCTGTGGACGCACATTCATCTGGGGTAATTGTTAGTGGCAGTGAAGATCGATCTGCCAAGATATGGAAAGGTGATTTGTTCTGCGTTCTTCTTAGACTGAGTTCATGTTAAAATTCAGTAGTATTTTTTCATTGGATTGATTATACTTGCATAGTCAACTCATGAGTCCTACCATGAACATTTGTTCCAAACAATTTCTGAACTGATTTTTCCATTGTGAAGTGCAATCCGTTTTACAAACTCCTTTGTCTAAAGAAATGTAACTTTGTAGTTAAAATCATTATGTAAGATTCAGCTTCCTCTGCTCCAGATCTGATCTTAACTAGTTTTGTATATGACACCTTGGTATGGTAGTTGGTAGTACATGTTTGTATTCACATTTCTTGCTTTTGTAACAAAGGAAACGATCTTTGAGGTGAAACCCAGTGAAGTGTATGTTTTGCTAAGCAGGGATCATGCATGCTTTTTCAAAAAAAAGGGTGTTTTGTATGGTTGTTATAAGTATGTAGCAGAATGCACATTAAGCACCTCATGTACTTGATCAAATGACTTTGCTAGTTGTATAATGCAGATGGGATCTGTGTTCAAAGCATTGAACACCCAGGTTGCATATGGGGTGCTAAATTCTTGGAAAACGGAGATATTGTAACTGCATGCTCTGATGGAATCGTGAGGATATGGACAACTGACAATAATAGGTTTTGCAGTGATGAGGAGCTTGCAGCTTTTACAGATCTTATTTCTCAGTACATACTTAGTAGGTTGGTTCGCTTTGCTTCTTGAATTATTCTATTTATGTTCTATGCGAAGTATTGACATCTTCTCAACGTGCCCCCCCCTCTTTTGGGTATCAACGTGACCTAATTGTAACCTTATCGGTATGCATAAAGGATGCATAAAGTAGTCTATTTACAGTTTAGACATGATTCTTTTAATCTTTTTATTTGAATAATAGAACCTGATGTTTATTCATGCAATATCAAGTTTTAATTTGACCGATAGTTTTTGTGCCTTTTATTTTGCTTGTATAGAAAGACTGTCGGTGGATTGAAGTTGTCGGATCTACCAGGAATTGAGGCACTGCAAGTTCCAGGTCACATACCTCATTTCTTATCAATTTTTTTAGATTATTGTTGATATTCCTACGTTGCTTAAATATACATAGAAAATTCTTAAGCTGTTTGCCTTTTTTTTTTAAAAAAAATAAATCAAAACAGCATGCTACTAGAGTTAAGAAGCATAAGAATTAGACTTGATCTCTAAATGAAGTTTTGTACTTGAAAGTACTTTGTGGGTTTATGCTAAATTAGACTTTTGGAAATGTCTAGAGTATTTTGATAAAATATTGCAGTTGTGAAACTCAATTGTCTACCGATTCTTTAGTAACTTTGTGATGTTCAAGTTGAAGGAATGAAAAGTTCATCTTTCTTTATCTTTGCATAATAGTATCATCATTTTTGAACTTGTTTGCTTGTAAGCAGGAAACTCTGATGGTCAGACACTGATTGTTAGAGAAGGGGACAATGGTGTTGCTTATTCTTGGAATTCAAAAGAGCTAAAATGGGACAAAGTAAGCACTTTTGTGCTTTTAGTATCTCCATTGTGTCCCCCCTAAGTTGCCATTCCTTCACATGAGATAATATGAATGTTGAAGGTGTCTTTTCATTATTTGCTGTTTGATATTGATAAATATATTTAACTTAAATGCAACCTATGCAATTTGACATACCTATGAGGTATTAGCATTATAGGGAGCTTAACACATTTACTGCGTAACAGGTGTCATAAATGATGCTCTCTGTTTATATTTTTCCATGCCCATGCTTGACCTGCACTTTGTTTTGATTTTATATGTGATTTTACCTTGTTATTAAAAAATCATGCTAGATTGGTGAAGTAGTGGATGGACCTGGGGATGCTGCAGCTGCACCAGGCCAGTTTCATGATGGTGTTCGTTATGATTTTGGTAAGTTGCCTTCTGTTGGATATATTTTTGTGCTAACCTCATCATTTACTTATGTTCATCTGAAATCCATGCAGTTTTTAATGTTGACATTGGAGATGGAGAGCCTATGCGAAAGCTACCCTATAATCGATCAGGTATGCCTCTTTTTTTTAATGCTTTTGTCTGCTACTGGTTCTAGAGTAACCCAATTAGTATTATAATTCATATGCTTACTTTACAAAAGAGAGTTTTACCATTTAAGTGTCCACTAAATGCAAGGTCCTTTGCTTGCATGTGCATTTACCTTTAGAGACTCTCTTGACATCACTCTGACACTCGCGTACTTTCTTGCAGATGATCCGTATGCAGTTGCGGACAAATGGCTCCTGAAGGAGAATCTCCCTTTGACATATCGCCAACAAGTGGTAGAATTTATACTACAGAATTCTGGCCAGAATAATTTTGTTCCAGATCCATCTTTTCGGGACCCCTACACTGGAGGTATATGTTTTTTTCCATCGTTTTATTTATATTTTTTTATTTGCCAGTTATGGTGTTGCTGTTGACATTTGAGTTGTTTATGGTTCAGCTAATGCATATGTACCTGGGCAATCAGCGTCTTCAACTGGTATGTGTCCACTGATATGAAAATAGAGATCTAACTGATCTATTTTATTACTTTTGTTGTATTCAGTGATAATGGCTTTGCTCCCTTTCCCCACTCTCCTTTTTTTGCTTCTTCACAAGTCCTAACATAATGTTCAAACTTGTTTTCAGTTAGTGCTCCTAAACCAACTTTCAAGCACATACCAAAGGTAATACTCACCTTTGTCATTGTTGATTGTGGATTTACTGTTATTGTTAATAACTTAATGTAGTGACTGAACAGTTAACATACATATGAATTAGCACCCTGTACCAAGATCTTGTAACTTGTTATTTTGTAAGCACATGGGCTCGTACACATCTGATATATCTATTATTTGTGTTAAATTGGTTGGTGCTTAGTGCCTTAGTGGAATTAGCTGCTACTATCATTTTGTGTTGCAACCTGTAACCTGTTGCAATTTTACTCAAAATTTGCTTATGCTTTGCAGAATGGAATGCTGACATTTGAGACGGCTCAGTTTGAGGGAATTCTTAAGAAACTCTCTGAATTCAATGCAACACTTTCATCTAATTTGGTAATTTCAAAAATCATTTGTTGGTGAATTTGTTTCTTCTGATAATTTAGTATTTTCTCCCAGAACCTGGGAAGTTTAGCTTGGTTTATACCATCCTGTCATCCTGTGTACTATTTTGAAGTTTAGAACTATGTTGGTGTTTTAATGCTTTAGTTCGTAGGCAATGAGTTTTAAGCATTGATACAGACCATTCCCACCGTTTGAGTCTCTTTTTTTTTTCTAGCTGTGTACCTAGCCTGTTTGGAGTGCAGGAATGTCCTCAATTCTTGCAGGGACAGAAATTTTCCTATGAAACTCCTTTATTTCAACTTAGTGCCTTCTTTGAACTTAATCATTGACTTCTTTCAATTCAGGAACAGAAGGAACTATCTTTGTCTGAGATCGAGTTGTCCAGATTAGCTGCCATAGCAAAAGTATTGAAAGAAACATCATTTTATCATACAAGTAAGCTTGCAGATGCTGACATGACCTTGCTGCTGAAAATGTTGAAGTCTTGGCCTACACAAATGATGTTTCCAGGTACATGCTTTTCTCTTGAAATTTTCAACTGATGATCACTGAAACAAATCCTTGAAATTTGCATTTAATTAAAGGAAAATGAATAGAAGAAAATCATTATGAACTGTAATAAGAAGGAAGCAGTTTAGATAAATTATTACAGAATTTCTGTTAAGGTTTTCCTTTGACTGGGAATTTCTGTAACAATAACAATAGGAATTTAGTTACTGCTTAAAACTATAACATATATGTTTTTCCAATTGTAAAAGTAGTGACTCCTTTAGTGGTCGTATTGCAACCATCAAAAGTGTTTAGAAGATCTAAAGTTGGATGTCTCTTATTAACAAAATTGTGTATGTGTGGGTGTTAGAAACAAGTGAAGCCAATAGTCATACCCACTAATGAGAATCAAGCATCTTAATCTCTTAATCTTAGTCCAAGCACCATAAAATACAAACCAATCAAGGAAATGTATTTAGTTAAGTCCTTCTATTGACCTTTCCAATGCAGAAACAAAGTACAGGTAAAAATAGGAATGTTACACCCCCTTTTCTCTTATACAGAACAGAAGTAGTTCTGTTCATGCCATAAACCATGTACCGCATATACTTTAGACAATATAACATCGAGTGAAGATTTATTCTAGGCTATTCAGTTGCTTGGGATCACGTTTCTTGACTTTTGTAGGATTTAGCTTGCAATCCATCTGAAATATTTGTCCATCTCTATCTTGCAGTTATTGATTTTCTGAGGATGTTTGTGTTGCATCCTGATGGAGCCACTCTACTTCTCAAGGCTATTGAAAGTGGAAATGGTACAGCTTGGATATATCCTGTCTGTGAATGTTTTATTTGCCTTGTCTGAACTATCTTTACTCTTCGAGCTTAGATTATCTTTGTTATCTTCATTACATCTCTTTATGATTGCTGCCAACTAATGTTTTCTTTCATACTATTGTGAAATTCATCGTTTTGTTAGTATTACTCCAAGTATTAACTACAGTTACTCATGAACTGCCAGATGTACTTGCCGAGACTTTCCATAAGGTTGTAACGCCACCTGTGCAGCCACCAAATGTGCTTACAACCCTTAAAGCAGTTACTAACTTATTTGACAAGCCATGCTTGCACCAATGGTTGAGAATCCATGGCATGGAGGTCAGTTCTTGAACTACATACGGTCATTTTGTTCTGTAATGCATAAATGTAACCATTAGTTCATTTTATTTGTTGTATTATAATCACAACATCTAGTGACCAATGCAAGCGTCTCCTTTGTGGGATCACTAGTCCGCAAAACATAACTAGCTTTGGTAGACACTTAGATTGACAAGAGTTTGTTGTTTTTCTGCTCAGACTCTAGGAATTATTATTTAATCTATTTTTAGGAGACTGATATTTTTTGTTTGCTAATTTCAGATTATTGATTCAGTATCAAGCTGTAAGACAACTTTTAGCAAGAATGCTCACCTGGCATATTCCACACTTCTACTCAAGTAAGTCACAAGTTGAATTCCGTGTAATCATGCTTACAGATTCTATTTTGTCATAATTTTGGATAATACCTGTTCTGGTCATGAAAACATGTTGTTTTGGACATTGACATGCTCTTGAGATGTAATTTTGAATATCTATGTATGATATTTTGTAAGGTCCAATAAAGCTGTTATGAATGTACTTTATGAAACATTAATGCTCAAAATTTTGAGAAAGTTTGCATGAGCGGGGGGACTAATAAGCATGCACAAAATGTTGATGTTTGATTTCCTACATCTTTCTCCCAGTTATGCTGTTCTTTCAATCGAATCAAAGGATGAACAAAGTCAGGCACAGATACTTTCTGCTGCCCTTGAAGTGAGTTTCTCTTATCTGAACTTTGTAATTATGTGATCGTTACAGTGTTTTCAGTCCACCCATTGTTACATCTTCTTTATTTGAAAATTCAACAGATCGCTGAAGACGACACCCAAGTTGCTGATTCGAAATACCGGGCCCTTGTTGCAATCGGCTCTCTCGTATCCTTCTCAATGATACACAACACAATGCTTAGTACTCCCTCCGTTTCACAATGTAACACTTTCTAGTATTGCCCACATTCATATGCTTCATCCGTTTCACAATGGAAGTCATTCTAGCATTTCCCACATTCATATTGATGTTAATGAATCTAGACAGTACTGTCTAGATTCATTAACATCAATATGAATGTGGGAAATGCTAGAATGACTTACATTGTGAAACGGAGGGAGTAGATGTTAATGAATCTAGTATTGTGAAACGGAGGAGTATTAAATGTTTTCAATAGCTTTCTTTCTTTCTTTCACAACAGTACAAAAATATGTTTTGGCCGTGTTGTCCTTAACCTTACCCCAGATGTTGAATGGCCTTGTGAAGTCCATTGCTCTTGATCTTGATGTTAAGAGTGTTGCGAACACCGCAAGAGCTTCAAAGGACTCGAAGATCGCTGAAGTTGGAGCCGACATCGAGCTTCTGACAAGATGATAAGATGGCCGAAGACTCGCAGACGGTTGGTAGTACGTCCCCCCTTGCTGGAGGCGACATTGTTCATGATACTGCTCATCAGTCACCATGGAGCCGTCACTCGTGCAGGGAGGCAGTTTAGTGTTTAGCCCGTGCACCTGGTGGCGCCGGTCGTGGGGTAGGGTCAGGTTTGCAACTCGGTTGCTCGTTGCGCCTTCTTGTAACAAACAGCTTGTGTTTTTGAGCTTGAATCACCCGGCCTGAGCAAAAGGTTTGTTTTTAAGCCGATGTTTTTACGTGGGTTTATGATTAGATAGCTGCACCTATACACTTTTATCCAGAAACGGCAATCCCAATTCAATTCTTTCACAAACCTGGTTTAAACTTTCCTCATCTGTGTTGTTATCAAGGGCGCTTGTTCTGGGCTGTGCACCTTTTGTGTTGAAGTTACTGGACTACCTCTGTCGGAGAATGAACTCCTCCACCAGGGAACCGTGAGGCCCCTCTTTGTGAGTTCGGCCGGGGGCAGCGGGTGAGATTCGAGGATTCGGTGAGTAAAGCTGTGTGATTTTGAGGGGTTCAATCCCCTAAAGACAATGAGACAAAAGAGGTTTATACATGTTCGCGCCGCTGAGAAACGTAATACCCTACTCCTGTGCTTAGCTGATCTTATGAGAAATTACAAGATCTCCTTGTTGGGGTAGAAGGTGTTGATCATCAGGGGCTCCAGCCCCCCCTCCTACTAGGCCTGTACCTCCTTTTATCTCTCAAGGGATTACCACATGGGCCAAAAACATAACTTAGTGGAGAAGGATTACAATCTTTGCATTAAATGCATGTCTTGTCTCTTGACTTGGGAAGCAAGCGCACGTCATCTTGATGATGAGGCCTGTCAAATCTTGCCGCCTGACACGGGGGGTGCCCCTGTCAGTCACCATTTAATGGGTGAGGACTTCTGGGCTCCTATTACACCAGGAAACGGGAGCCTTGCTTTGACCAGAGCGGGAGGACCGACTCCGGCTAGGATAAGAGGATGAGAACCTCTCACCATCATTATTTGATGGGACATGTCGGGCTGTGTCACGCCCGGAAATTCACCAGTAATTTCCGAACTTATTTGTGCATAAAATCCTCGTCCAGAAATCAGCCGAGGTACACAAACTGACAATTTAATATACAGATTCATCAAATTAACTAAAACGATAAATACTTACTTAAGAGGCACTTAGTCCTCACCAAGAAGAAAATTGCAGCGGAAAATAAAATCTAGCGAAGCTCCGGCTCCACTCCCACAGGCAGCTCAACTGGGGTATAAGCCAAACGTCTTCTCCTTCTGGATCCTTTTTCTTCAACTGAGGTTGATTGATTATTGCAAGGTGAGCATATGACATACTCAGCAAGCCACACAGCAAATATGCAAGTGCACAAGGATACCAAAGGATGGCATAATATAGGCTCATTTGCAAAGGCAGCATTTAGCAAAACATTTAAGAGAAGTAAAACAGTGGAGTAATTAATCAGAAATTTTAATCAACACCGAACAGCACACCCATGCTGCACAGGCCCAACCATTCTGAACAACCATACCCGGCTGAACAGATCTAACTCCAAACCAGGAGCTAAGCAAATTATTACCAGGTATAACATCCATAATTATTGTCAGAGGTGTGGGACTAATCACGAAAAACATTGCTCAACTCGCCCATAACCGCGGGCACGGCTATTCAAATAGTTTTACTCTGGCCAGAGGTGTACCACTGTACCCACAAGACACAGCCTCAACATCATGTCTACCATGCGTCGCGATACTGGAAAGTACCCGAATAGAGGCTGTGACAATACCCTCTGCATAACACAACTCACCACAGTGCACCATTCCTGGATCATAATCACCCCCTTATAAAACAAGGCATGGACTCCCCAGCGACCCCCGTGGGCTTATCTCCGCCACTTCTCAGTCTGGTGCTCCGCAATGAACCATGTTATACAAAAGGTAAAGCCGTTGCCCACGCTGGCTTGTGGTTGGCACGGTTAATGTTTCACAATAGTAGCTCGCGAACCGGTCCTTAATTGTCATGAGCACGACTCTCAAAACCATGTGCTCACAACCCACCATTATCAAGTTTTAGTTGGCAAGTAATTAATTAACCAATCACGATTAACCATCGTGAACTATCATTAAACCATCATTAAATAATAATGAATCATAAGTTATCCCAATAGTGTGCTAATGTTTCTAAGCATGGCTAAGCAATCACATCTAATATCTAGCTGAACCAATATATAAAGCTCAACTAGTCAAATTATAATAACCCAAGGTATCAAGGATTAAAGTAATCAATGCAAACAGGCCATAACAAAGGAATAGATTCACACCACCCAGTGACATTCGAAAATAAATGCACAGTTGAAATAAATAGAGAATTTAAATATAGGATCAACATGCTCAAAGGATTGTGTTTAGGATCTGTGTGACTTGCCTTGCAATAATCGGTCTTCAATTAATCTTCTTGAATACTTCCGGCGCATTCGCGAACCTTCACAACGACGAAAACGACAAGCTAACACGCAAAACGAAGAAAAAGACTAATAAAAACCAAATAAACAATACATAAAAAGTAAACAAACATGTAGATCATAATTTTAGATGAATTATGAGACTTGAACGGCCTCATTCTGACTTCATATGAATTTATTATGAATTTTACAAGATTAAATCTAATTAAAGCCCATTTAAAAAGAATTAAATAAATTTAATTCAATTTATGGACAATTTTAATATGTAGATCTTTATTTTATATAATTTTTTCAACTTGAACCACATTAAACTGAGTTAAGATGAATTAGTTATGAATTTTTAAAGATTAAATCGGATTAAAACACTTATATGGATTTTAATTGAATTATGACGCAATAATGAATTATTTTTGAAAAGGAAAAGAAGGATTATTGCGTCAGCGGCTAGGGTTTGCGGTGGACCGGGTGCACGGCAACGGTTCACGAGAACGGACGGCCGAGATCGATCCTATCCAAAACGGACGGCCGAGATCGAACGGTCCACGACCGGCTTACGGGAAACGGCAACGATGACGTCAGCGACGACGGCAGCGATGACGTCAGCACCGGCGGCGACTCGGGCGGCTCGGACGCGCATGCTCGCCGGCGAACGACGGCGCGGCGACGCGAACGGAGGGCACCAACGGGTAGAGGACGACGCGGCGAACTCACCGGTGACCAAAACCACGGCGGAAGAGCAACAGACGGCGCCGGCGACGAGGAAGAAGCGGCGGCGGAGATCGGGTCGACGGCGGCGACGGTGCTCCGGCGATCTTCGACGGCGGCGAAGGGGCGGACGGGGACGGCGACGACTTGGCGATCCCGACGGTGGCCTTCCCGAGCGACGACGACGACCGTAGCGACGGCGGCGCACGGCTGGACGAACGGCGGCGACGGCGGCGCAAAAGCTCATGAGGCTAGGGCGCTACACACGACGGCGGGCGAAGGCGAGAGAGGCGGCGGGTAGAGGAGAGCTCGGGGATCCTTTTAAAGGGGCTAGGAGGCGGCGGCGAAGGCCCACGGCTGCCGTCGACGAGAAGGAAAGATTGGGGAAAAACGAATCCGAATCCAACTCGAATCCGCCTATTTCCAAAGGAAATTGACCGGAGTTTCTATAAGAGAAAAGGAAGAGGAGATCGAGGAGATTATTTCCCCTCAATCGATTTCACCGGAGAAGGAAAGGAGCGGCCGGATTGGAAAGCGGCGGCGGCGCGGCTAGGCTAGGGTTTCGGGCGGCGGCGGCCGGAGGAAGACGACGGATCCGACAAGTGGGGCCCACCTGTCAGCGACAGAGAGAGAGAGGAGAGCGGCAGCTCGGCGGACTGGGCCGGGGAGGGAGAGAGAAAGAGAGGTTTTGGGCCGGCTTTCGGCCCAAAGCCAAAAGAAGACTTTTAAAAACCTTTTTCAATTTAAATTATTCATGAAATGCAATTCCATTTATTAAAAATACTTCCTTAGCTCAAATAAATCCGAGAAAAATCTAGGAATTATAGAATTAAGCAAAGTATTTAATGAAATTTTATCTAGCCCAATTTTATATTGAGATTTAACAAATTAAAATTAGATCTTCTCTTTTAGGCTTTTAAAATCATTTCTAATAATTCCTTTTAAACAACAATTTATAATTTAAGGATTTTAAACAAGAAAAGCTCTTAACAATTATAATTAGATCATTATTGATCAAATAATTACTGAACTGTTCTTTGTATCATTTAGGAATTGAGCTCCGAAAATTCCGAGAAAATTTCAGAGAGTATAATTAATCATGGAGAATTTAATAAAAAATTAAATCCATCCATGCTTTATATTTAGGAAATTTTATTTCCCACATTTAACTTCACTTGTAAATTAAAGAACATTTAATATAAATTCTATTAATAATTTATTAAATAATTTATAAATCCTGAAACGAAAATCAGGATGTGACAGGCTGCACGTCACCTGACACACGAGCAGCGCACAGGTGCACTACCCCAGTCCCATCGGTCATTCGACCGGTCACAGACCGGTTGAGTGCATTGCACACCGCATTAAATGTGGCGTGGCGCGACTACTCGGGCCGCCATAAATGCGGGTAGGTGGGCACCTGGAGGCGGACACTTAACCCACCGTACATGGTGACCTAGAGAGGGGGTCAGGGGAGCCCGACCCCTAGGCACGGGAGGGGGCGGCCGCCGCCCGACCTCAGGCGGCCCGATCCCCCCTCGGGGGAGGGCCACGTGGCGCCTAGGGCATCCTTTTCCCTCTAGTCTCGGCCAGGGAGTGGCCACCGCCCTACCTCGGACCCGATCCCCCTCGAGGGAGGGCCACGTGGCATTGGGGGGCAGCCTCCTCCGTCCAATCTCTAGAAGGGAGTGGCCGCCACCCCACCTCGGGCCTAACTCCCCTCGGGGGAGGGCCGCGTGTCATTGGGGGGCAGTCTCCTCCGACTAGTCTTTGTGAAGGAGTGGCCGCCACCCCACCTCGGGCCTGACTCCCATCGGGGGAGGGCCACGTGGCCTTAGGGGCAGCCTCCTCCCTCTAAACATGATACCCCTGGGCCCATATCACCGACAGTAGCCCCCGGCGTTAGTCCTGACCAAAACCTTTCCCAGGTGGTCAGGGTTGACGCCAATCTTCTAGTCAGTTGACATGTGGGCCCGATCTTCTATCCTATCATTCTGGGAGTTGGGCGGTGGGAGTTTAGTCACGTTCATACGTCGCCTTAACTTCCCACTGTCCTCCCGGTTTCCGAAGCGCTGTGGGCTCGGGAGTTTAGCACGTACCTTAGGCCGTGAACTTATTTCCTGTATATACTCAGCAAACGTTGTTAGATTCTCTCGGGCCCGTGAC